ATCCCACTGTATCTGGTCTGGGTCCCTCCCCTCCATCTATCTGCCCCTGATCCTCTCCCCTTGAAGGACAGAGATTAAAACAGAAAGGACCTCAGAGCAATACCTAGTTCAACTCCCTCTTTATACAGAGGGAGTTGAAGCATGGAGAGGAGATGTGAGCTTTCAAATCCACACAGTGAGTCCCCATTGGCGCCTCTGGGGTGGATAGCAGGAGGGAAAAAGAAAAAAGTCTGTAGATTCTAATTAAAACTCCTTTTCCCCTTTCAGCTGATCCATGATTTTAACCCAAATTATTTTGAACCCTTTCTCTAGTGTCAAGCACGCATTTTTATTTTGTTTTGGCTTTGTCTTCAAACTTTATATTTTTGTTAGCTCAGTCCTCCTTTCTTCTTCCTCTCTGTTCCCAACTGAAACCATTTCTATAAGCCAAGTGTCTTAAATAGATGGAGCCCTGGGCTGGGGGTATCCCATGGGCCAGAGTTGAGGCTTGCTTTTCCTCTCCTGGAGTCACTGTTAGAAGTCACTGTTAAAGCGGCCATGGGTGTCACGCTATGCAGTAGTTAAGAGCATGGACTGTGCCTGAGTTTGACACCCAGTCAAGCAAGCTTTGTACTAGAAGGTTTCGTTTCCCTTCACCCCAGCTCCTCACTCCCTGCTTTCTAAAAGCACAGGGCCCATCCCTAAGAGTTCAGTAGTGGGTGTGGGGACGCTGTGTCCTCACCCTGTGTGTTAGGGGATTACAATCAGGCTGAAGTGGCCCCAGCCTGCAATGGCTTCTCATCATTCATGGAAAGGCAGCCTCTTAGGTGAGACTCCACCCCCACCCCTCTTGAAAATGTTGCCATGCTGCTCCTGAGGCAGCTCCTGCCAGCGATAGCAAGTCCAAATGCCGAGAGAGAAACATGAGGCATTCATGATGAAGAAAGATGCCCCCTCCTCCTTGCTTCCACGGATAGCGTGATGCTCCCCATTACCAAGGGCCTTTCTCTCTTCCAGCCAATAGCACGAGTGAGATGTCTAAGGAAAACAATGCTTGTGATCTCCGTGTTCGTCAGGCTTTGGATGAAACTAAATGGAGCAAGAAGAAACTGTGGTTCTTCAGTCAAAAAGCAAAAGCAACATGGGCCTCACCAGATGGAACAGCCTTCCCCAGGCACTTTCTGTATTGGGCCCCAGTATCTGAACTTCCAGTCATCAGCTGACTCAGGACTCCATGAGGAAAACAAATGGATTAGCTATGATCATGGAATCCACGCTTAGAATGAAATACCTACAGTTCGCCGAAAGGATGACCGAATCACTACTAGGTATACAAAAACCTGCAAAGAATACAGAGAGGGATGGTGTTAAAATGTCCAATCCCTTCCCACCAGGAAACTTGTGAAAGCCTCTGCCAGGCTCAGCCAAGGGAAACATCTCCAGCCTAGGCCAGCGGGCATTCTCTGCACTGTCTATCTTCTCTTCACCTGCTGATTTTCTTCTACTTCCCACACTGCTCTGCATCCCAGCCAGGCTGGGCCAGGAAGGGCACTCAGGGAGTCTGAATTCCCATACCATCCACACAGGATGCTCAGTCTCTCTTTCTGCAGATGCATATTTTGGGGGCAGAACTTTCAGCAAGTGTGCTTCTATACCCTGGCTACCCCTCTTCCTGATTTGCTTCTTTATAAGTCAGATTTTAGCTTTTGGGGGGTTTATATGCTTTACTGTGAATTTTCTTAAATGCCTTTGGTAGTGTTCTGTCCCCCAAGGAACAGCTTTTCTCTCTTTGCACCATTGCTTGGTTCCATATGCTCCCCATTCATAAAGTGGACCTCTGCAACTTTCGTGGTCTCCGTATTTAGGCAGGAAGAGACTAGCTGCCCCGACTGTCCAGGTATCACTGCCTTCTATGTGGCTCTACCAAACACCCCCGTTTGCTGTGGCACTTAAGGGTTTTAAGTTTAACTATTTTGTGCCTACCACGTGTGCACTCCACCAAGACGACTAAGGAAAACCTGGCTTCTTGTTGTAACTTAGCATGAGCTACCATTTTTTGAGCATACACTATGTTCTAGGCATTATGCTAAGTGCTTAACATGTATTATCTCTAGCCCTGACTGTAAACCTGGGAGATAAGCATCGTTATTCCCATTTTACAGATGAGGAAACTGAGTCTGAGAGCAGTTATATAACTTGCTCTGGATCACATAGATGGTAAGTGGCAGAGGTAGAACTAGAATCTAAGTCTGCATGATTGAGAAGTCCACACTCTTTCCTTTGTACCATTCTCCCAGTCACTCAGCAAACACATGTTGAGCACTTACCTCTCCCAGACAGTGTTCTTTCCTTGTGGAGCCTAACATCTAGCTCGCCTCATCCTTCATCCTAATGCTCTTGATCTGTGACAATGGAGAAGACAGTTCCTGATGCCCACGGCAAGGAAAAGGTCTAGAACAGCAAAGCAAAGGAAAAGAATTACCTAATTGCAGCTGTTAATTTGAAGTTTCCTAACCACCAGGAGAAAAATAACTATGTGAGAATTACCGTATCAGCCATATGTTTCTAGTTTACACATCTCAGGCACTAGCTGGAGTTCCCAGGCAGAAACAGACACAAACAGGTGGGATTATGGAATTCCCTGAAATATCATCAACAAGAGGAGGAGCAGGAAAATGAATCTTAAAGTGTATAGACTGTTTTGCGATCTTTTTCTAATTGGTTACAATATTGGACTTGATGTTTCTAAGAAATCAACAGCATCGTCAATCCTATCTGACATAGGAGAAGACAAGAAGCTGATAGATTGTGTTCTAGGATCTGAGGAAAATCAGTGGTGATATAAAGACCTAGGATATAAACCTATAGAAAAAAAGAAATCACTGTGGCCAGCAACGTTCCTTTATTGTGGGTTGTTGAAATAGTTTTAATTTTGCTGAGAGCCAAAGCAAGCTTTTCTTATTAAGAAAAAAGGCACATAAATATAGAACTGATTTAGTGATACCCAACAGCCATGGCTGAGATTTGTGCCCAAGCACTAAGGCAGTTTAGGTTATCATGTTTTAAAGGATTTCTTGGATTGGCTGTTGGTGGTACTTTCCTACTTCCTCCCTGTTAACTGAATCCTCATTTTGTTCAGATTATCAGGGAAATTTGTATGGGAAAGGTGGATCCTTCTTTGGGGCCCATAGAATGAACCGTGATCAACCTGATTCATTTCCTCTTTTGCCAATGTGGTGGTCATTTGACACAGTTTTCAGCAGGGAGACATAGCTAGAAGTCTGCTAATGGCTTTTGGAAAGATTTTCCTCTCTAACAAATAAAAAGAGAGGCTAAAGAGAAAGTCCATGTCCCTTCCTACCTGTCTTCGGATGTTTTTGTTTAAGGATGTGATATTCGGAACTGCAGCAGCAACTTTGCCACAATGAGGGAAGGTAATGCTGTCACATGAGGGCTACAGAATGAAGAATAGAAAGAGCCTAGGATCTTGGTGACCTCATTGCAATACTGAACATCCTGAAACCACATACCTGCAGAATTCTTAAGTGTTGTAAAAATGCTCTATGTTTTTTTTTTTTGGCACTTTTAGTTTCCTCTCCATGACACACTGGATAAAGAGAAAATAGCCTGAAGCCAACACATTATGTAAGAGTCAAAAAATGTGTCTGAACTAAGGTGAGACTCTGCTGATGGCTGACCCCTCTGTCTGTTGCGTTACACAGCCTGCAAAGGAATTTAGAAACAGAACAAAAAGCACATATTTATTGAGCATCTACTATGTGCCATACATTGTACTGGGGTCACAAGAGTGGACAAGACAGACAAGGTCATTGAGGTCATGAAAGTCACATTCTGGAAGACAGATGATAAACAACTAAAGAAACAAGGATAGGTGAAAACAGTCTTGGGCAATTTACTAAATATTGATTCAAACCAGTCCTGAGTATAAACCCAGACTCTGGAACCAGATAGATCTGGATTCAAATTCCACCTCTACCACTTGCTGTAACCGTAGGAAAGTCATTTAATCTTTCTGAGCATCAGTTTCTTCATCTGTAAAATGAAGATAACACAAAACTAACTCATACTGTTGGGAGGATTAAATAAACAAACTCACTGTAAAGTGCTTTACATAGAGCCTGGCACATAGTCCGTTTCTCTACATTCTGCATGATAATGAGGGTAACCACGATGAGGAGGATGATAATAATCATTTTTCACCATCATAATAATTTGTTCCAGGCACTGCGGGTATCAAAAGATGAACCAGACATAGACCCCGCATTTAAGAAATCTGAAAGGCAAGAATTCAGATTTGGTCATAGAATAGTCAAAAGTCAGGCAATGAATTAGGCAGAAGACAAAAGAATTCCTCTGGTAACCAGGGTTAGAGTAAGCTAGGCCCTCTGTCTCCACTTTTCTCCCACACATATTTTATAACCATTTATCCCCTCTTCCAAGACAGAAAGAAATATTCTGAAGGATTGCTGCTCTTTCACATACAGCCTCTGTTCCCAAGAGAATCAAGTGGGCTTTTTCTTTCTCCAGTGAAGTGAAAAATATAGGATGTGTATATCTGGGTGGCACTTACCAGCCTGGGCTATGTAACCAGCAAACACACACAGATATTCCCATCAATGTTCTCACTGAACCCTGTCTCCCTTCTTTCATCCTCTCAAAATCATACCCACTTAATGTGTTTAGTGCTCTGCAATTGACTAGTAACTGCTGCATCTAGCTATAAAATACAGATAAGCATCGGCTGCCAGGGTCCTCACACCCACACACATACCCTCACCCTTAGAAACATTTCCACTGATGGTCACACGAACCCCTGAATACTCTCACACTTGGAGAGCATCTTCCCACAGGCTTGCTCACACACAGGCTTTTTATGTGAGCTCTCATGGGGAATCTTTCAACTCTCAGATGGGAATTTCATTAACAAAGGAAGGGGAGGGGAAATCAAAAGGAAAGTACAGATGCCGGAGAAAAGAAATTACACTCAGTTTTGAAAGGGACCTAAAATTGTATCATCCTAGCCTGAACCTCCCTTATAACTGTTCTTTATTTGTACATTCTGTGCCTGAAATAAAACAAAACAAAAACAACTTTTCATTGATTGGGCAATTGTCCAGGCTCTTAGCTTGGCACCCAGCCCCCAGAGCTGTGAAATCAGCCTTACCAAGCCTATGCTTTGAAATGAGGAAACATTCTAGTTGGAAGCCTGTTCAAAATCAGGAACTTGGCACAAGGGTCCAGGGTCCTGTGTTTCTTCCTTCTCTCAGCCACATCTCCCTCATCCGACCTTGGTGAAGAGTCAGTCTTACTTGGCTAAGAAAGAGACTCAGAACGAGAACATAGTTGGATGAGACTCTCAGAAGTCACTGCCTGAGTATCAAACCTGAATAACCGAGAGATGTAACCTTGGCATACTTTCAGTTGTTTTTCTCCTGCCCACACCGCAGGTTTTTCAGGTCCTTGCCTGAGTGTGCACTCACCGCATAAATAGCGAGCTATCAACAGCCTGCTTCAGTCAGCCAGGCTATTTCAGCAGGCTGGCAACAGAGGATCCGGCTTCCAGATCCAGGGCTTGCCTTTGCCACTTCCAAGTAAGTATCTTTCAGAGGTCTGTCTTTAATGCAGAGGAATGAACTTGGTGTAGAAATGGCTGAAGTGCTATTGTTACTGTATTGGCTATTCTGTTGGGAAAGGTGAACAGGAAAACGGATAATAAAAGTTAGGAGCTGGTCCCAATCAGGGAGCTAGCGAATGCTGCTGGGTGTAAGATATATTATCACCTTCTATCAAACATGCATGGGGCTGAGTTGGATTTGGAGCTAGGTGGTGTCTGTGCTGGCCTTTTGGTCAGCAGGTAAGATGTTTTTCTAGCTCTCTCCTATGTCTGAAAGATTTTGAAACTTGAGCTTCTGTGACTTTGCCAGATGCATACGAATTTATCATTTAGAAGCCGATATTGCTATTTGACTTCTCAGTCTAAAATCAGACATAATATCATTTAGAATATTTTTTGGGTTCTACATAGGTGGGGTAGGGTGGTGTCTCTGGATTGAGTAGCGGTGGCTCGATTGTGAATTTGCAGTGCTATTTATTATGACTGCCGGTTTTCATTAATACTTGTCAGTTATGACAATTAAAACATTGATCTTGTTTAAGATAAAAAGGAACCCCATGCTCCAGGGTTTTGAGGAAATGTAGGTCAGTGATATTTGGACACAATGGTATCCAAGTATCCAGGTAAACTCTTAAGTAAAGTGGAATAAGAATTAGTAAATAAAAAGGCATAACATACCATCTAGCTTAGGTGAGACAGTCTTAAAGAGAAGAGGAATGCAAAAAGTTCCCATGAAGTAGCACTTCACTGGGCAGTCTGCAGTGTATTTAGTTAAGAAGGGTGAGTATAACCAGAGCAGGCAGAGGACAAAATAAAGGTGCTGGGGAGGACTGAAGGGAGGACTGAAGAAGGGGGAGCAGATAGTAGAGGTTTTATAACTGGACATCATATTCATAAAATGCATAAAGGAATATAATAAGGAATAAAGCATGACTTTATTCCATAGTTTCTCCCTTAGGGTCAAGAATCTTGTGATTAAGATTAAGAATCTGGTGAAAGCCAAGATTGCCTTTCGCAGGTAGTGCTCCCATCTGTGTGCTCCCCAACATACACCTTTATGCTCATTTTCTGGGCCCCTAGAAGTCTATGGCCCTGTGAAGACCTCTGGTTTAAGCTAATGCTTTCTTTTTTAATTGAACTGAAGCTGCTGACTGAGAATCTATAGAGAGGTTGGGGGAGGTGGAGATCCTTAACACGGCAGGCACTTCTTGGCCACCCAACTGAAGCTCAGTCGTAAAGTCCTAACGGTCTGATTTCAATCAAGAAAATAATGATTAGAGGGCTTCTCTGAGCAAAGATAAGTGGGGGGCCAGGAGGAAGAGGAAAGAGATAAAAGATGGCTCCTGCTCCCAAAGAGCTTAAAATCTGAAGTACAAGAACATAACTAAAAAGAAACCAGGCAAAAAATAGTACATACTTTAGGATTCCGTCGGTATAAAATGATAGAAAACGCAAACTAATCTATGATAACAGAAAGCAGGTCAGTGGTTACCTGTGGAAGGGGAGCGGTGAGAAGAGGGTTGGGGGTGTTACCAAGGTGCATAGGAAACTTTTGGGGGTGATGGATATGTTCACTATTGTGATTGTGGTAACCAAGTCTCATATGTGAAAATTTATCAGATTGTACACTTTAGACATGTGCAGTATTATATGCCAATCACAGTATGTCTTTTTCTAAACAAACAATAACAGTGTATCTTTTTGAAAAAAATCATTAAAAGCATTTTGAAAAGTCAGCTTGTACAACATACTGAAAATAAAAATTGAGTATGTCTGGAAAAAAATTAATTCAATAAATGACGTAGAGGACCAGACCATCAGGCCTGTCGACTTTTGTAGAACTGGGAGGGTCCCAAAGATCATCTAACTTGTTTCAGACCTGGAGAACTGTTGTTGTTTTTTTGTTTTGTTTTTTCCAAATACCTGAGACTGGGCCCCACCCTAACCAGTTAAATTAGACCCCCTGGGTGTGTGCCCTGGCATTGTTTTTTAAAGCTACCCAAGTGATTCTGACCTGCATCCAGGGAGGAGAACCAGTGAAACCCAAACCCCTCAGTTTACACGTGAAGATAGTGAGGCCCAGAGAGAGGGCAGGGACTGCCCTAGCCACAGGACCACCATGTCCCAGGTTCCAGGGATAGCAACAGGACTTCAAAGGAAGAGCACCCCTGAGACCATCTTTTCTGCGTCCTCAAAATCACACTCCCAGCTCTGGCTATCATAGGGTATCTGGTATGTTTCAAGCACATTCTGGAACCTAGACGTATTCCAGGGTGGCCAGTAGGAGGAATTACTCAGAGCCTCAAAGGTGCATTATTTAAAGATGTGCTAACGCGTGAGAAGCGATGGTGAAAAAGGATGTTTCAAAACTAAAGCTTCCTTTTGTTCCCTACATAATACCTACTCTAAGCCAGAGGATTATCATTGTTAAAAAGAATAGTGGCAGACACACAGGGCGCTCTACTCTGGGGGATGGCCAAATTGTTCTTTTAGGAACCAGAGTGAGTTCTCAGCATTGGGATGAGTTGACTTGGCACTACAGGGTCTTTTCATTGCGAATGCCAGGTCACCCCCAGGCAGAGGTGTGAGTGGGTGAAATCTGTCTTTGTGGCTTCTGCCCTTCCTGCCTGTCCTTCACCTCAGCATCAGTGAGGGTGCAGGTGTGGATATGCAGGGATGTCCAGCTGGGTGCCTGGGCCAACTGGCCATGTTGTAGGTTGTTTCCCATCTCTCCTCCAATCCAAACATGCCCGATTTCCCGGGTCTCATCCCCTCAAGGCTTTGCTTACCCATCTCTGGAAAACTAATTAAAGTTATGATGTAAAAGACAATAATTGTTTAACGAGTTATGTCCCTCCCTAGTATATTAAAGAGGTTCCAGCAAGATAACATGTCTGGGAATTCTTTGAATTGTCATACAAATATAATTATCATTTGGAGCAATCAGGCAAAATTTATAACCCCTACAGGTCAGAATTCCAAGCAACTTCCTGGGGGAAAATATACCAAGATTTGGGATTTTCAGTAGACTTCCTCAAAGCACATAAGGAATTCCCTATAGACGGTGGGCCCTGAGAGATTTCTTTTTCTGAATTGGTTTATGTTTTTGTTAAATGCACTCATCTTCATTGGAGATGGCTGCATGTCACTTATCTTTCTGAAAAATGGAGAGCCGCCTTAAGATCACCACAGTGGAGACAAAACATCGAGAAATTCTGCTCACAAGTCTTTATTAATATTACCTGGTTCCTTCTAGGGAGCAGAAGGCTGCCAGTGGCAGAGCAGTTTGACCAGTCTTAGTAACAAAGGACCACCTTCCCTGGGGACCCTGTCCTGCAGCCTGGGGAAGGGGCCCCCTCCATTCCTGTGACTCTGGAACCTTGACAGCCCTTTCTTCCTTTGGGGGAGCTGAGATTGCTGCAGCTCCTGTTAGCAAGTGGCAGCTGCCTGTAGCAAGTCCTGCCTCTGAGGAGGGGTGTGGCCAGGTGAGTAATGAACCTCCCTCTGGGGAAGTAGGCGGCTTGGAGCCCTGGGCAGCTGGGCAGAGTGCACAGAGCCTCCACTGGTGAGAGGAGCAGTGAGGAGGGGAAGGAGAAGGTAAGCACCATGCTGAGCCACGGGAGGCCAGCAGACTGGGAGATGGGGAAACAGGGGACTCAAGCTCTGGGGGACAGGATTAGGCTCTTGGCATCAATGTGGTGCCAAGCACTGGTTTAATGCTGCTGTTTGGAAGCCAAATGTTTCTTCTTCTTATCATTTGAGATTTCACCAAAATAATAATAATAATTTAAATAATAATTTTCTTTTTAAAAAATGAATGACAGGTTTGCACAGCTGATAAAACAGGTTTGTATAACAGTGAAAGAATTTCTGCCTTCTTTGGATGACTTTTCAAAGAAAAATTCTTTTTATTTCCAAATTCTTTTTATGTGGAATGGCTTCGTTCATTGGACATTTTTTTAAAAGGCTGTGTCATAACCTAATCTAATTAATGTTTAGAAATTGTTGATGGCTCCCTCAGACTTTTAAACAGCCAAATGAATAGGGATGGTGGGGATGGTGGATAGGGCTATGCAAAGATGAAATTGTTGACAGAATGGTGACCTGTGGCCTGGAGGGATTTATAAAGTACTAACCGCTCATGTAAAAACCAACACCTGAGGATCCTAAGGCAGCCCCTGGACTACACCCATGCTGTCTGCTCACGTTGGGTGGGCTGGTGGAGGACAGTCTTGAGGTTGCAAATAGAAGAGATTCTCCTGATGGGGGGATGAGGGTACATGTGCTCTCACCCTGGCCCTGTTCCCTCTGCCGCCCCTACCTTTCAATGGCCCTGATGTGGATTTGGCATTCCGGCACTGTTGATTCTGAACACATGTGGGTTTGGGGTGTGTGAGTACATGACCAAGCAGGTGCAGGTCAAGTTGTCTTGTTTATTTGCTGGGAAAGTGCCTTCATTGATCTTGATGTTCAATACCCTTCCACAGAACCCCAGTGGAGATAGGTCCTGGCAGAAGATAGCCTGGCTTGGGGAGCAGAATATGGGTCTGGTAATCAGGAACCGTGTTTTATTTTCAGCTCTAACTCAGCTGCAATGGAATTTTATAGCAAGAGAGAGCCCGAAAGATCAGTTGTCCCAGTGGGTTACTGATAGCTCCCCCCTTTCATTCTCAAAAACACCTGGCCTGAGCAATAAAGTATATGGTCCCATATGAATACAACTCACGCAGGTACAAGAGAGTAAAGTGACTTGCCCTAAATTTTAGGATTTAGAATTAGTTGGTGGCTGACTCTGGGATGTAAGCCTGTCCACACCTCATCAGACCTCTTTGCCAAGTCCTGACTCCTCTCGTGATTCAGATTCCCGTGAAGCAATGTATCTGTACTGCCCAGACAGAGAGCTGGGATATTTACAATATATTGGCTTGCTACAAATAAGTTCAGTATGAATGCTGGGGGTTCAAGGAATTGTCCCTCCCAAGGTCAGGTTATTCTGTTTGCTTCAGGTTCTAATGTTAGCTTATGGCCATATTTGACCAGCGATAGGAACTCTTTTGAAAGTAGTGAAGTTAATTTTTACCCATCCTCATGTAATTTCTTGTAATTTGCCTCTAGTAGGTTTGCTAAAATGTGAACAAACATGAAAACTCTACCTGATCTTTCAGAACTACTCTGTCCTTTTATGTTAAAAACAAAAACAAAGACATAAATGACCGATGGCAGACATCGATCAGTTCTAATCGCTCAGTACCTACTGGGCAGGAAACTAATGGCAGTCGTTCTAGCAATTGGATCTAGACAGATTACTGTGGAAGTTTCCTGGAATTCTTAAGGACATGACAGATGTGCTTAGATAGTCCCGCCTTTGTTGATGTATTTTCATTTGCTTCCTGTGTGATTTCTCCCTAAGGAAATTTACAGAAACAACCTTCCCTTTACTCCTTTCCAAATTCCTAGTGTACTGGTGCCCAGGAGTGAAATCTGTTTTAGAAAAAACTTTGAGTCAATAACTTATGCCTGGAAGTATCTATCACTTTATTATGTATTCTTCATCCTCTTTCTGAGGAGGAGAATAGCTCCCTTTGGGGATGGCTAGAACCGGGTTTCATAAAGCAGAAGTAAAGAAAGCAGAAGTTTGTCTCCTGCCTTCATTACCATTGTACCTGGATCAGGGTTTAAAAGGGGGGAGAGTCCTTGGAACTAGTTCCAAAAGGCTCCTAGAAGACTAAATAATAATAAAATCAAATTGATAAGGAACAGCAAGAGGACCCAATGTTATATAACTTAGATAAGCAAAGGCTAGAAAGCCATTTGCTGATGGTGTGGAAAAGGATGAAGGGTGGTCATCGAGGTCAGTGGCCAGCTATGCACTTTGCTCTTTGAGGAAAAAAAACAACAACAAAAAAACCAAGCCCAGGGATTGGAGTACGCTGCAGCATGAAGAATATTAAGTGTGCTGTGAACTGTTGCCCCATCATACAGAAAATACATTGGAAAGAATTACACAGGCAAGCTCTGAAAGACGGGGCAGTCCAACAATCTTAGTTGTTGTTTTTTTTAAGATTTTATTGGGGAATTGGAGGAGGGGAACAGACAAGTTGCTGTCCTTTTGTTCTTCAGTCTAGTCGCTTCACTGGCCCATGTTGGCATTATCATTGCACTCTTCAAGAGGCAGTCACTTGCTGTTCATTGGACGGCCGCTCACGGCGGCTCACAGGCAGCTCATGAAAGCGCACACCAGCTGCCGGCCAGCCCCACCGCAGCCTAGGCCATTGCCGGTGACTCACGGGCAGCCCAGCTCCAGGTCGAGCTGTTGTTCACCATCTCAGCTGTAGAGGGCGCAGTGTCACTGGCCCTCATGTGGGATCCGAACCGGGGCCCTGCTGCTCACAGCTGGCGTCCAAAGCCAACTCTTAACCAACGTGCCACTCGGACGGCCCACAATCTTTTAATGTTTCATCTATTTTTTTTTCTTGTCTTTAGGCTCATGTTGAATTAACATGTTCCTTAATTCATAGTACACACAAGGCCCTTCTTAGGTTTTACATCTCAATCTATTACTTCTAATTTCCCATTCTCCCCCATGCTTTCTCTTTCAACTCAACACCATATTACTAAGCTCTACCTATGCTGTTGATTATATGTCTAATATTTCTAATGCATTATTTCTAACTGTTTTGTAATAGTCTGCTGTTTATATACACTCTTTGCTTATCTAATCCTCTAGTGTTGGACATTTCTACTGCCTCTAATTCTCACAAATGAATATCCTCCTATGTATACTCGACCGCTTTTAGATCTGGCTGGTGGGATACAGATGAAGGGAAAGGGGTGGGCTAGACAGCCTATGTTTTCTTTAAACAATATGGGATATTGATTGTCCATGAGAAATGGACACACATGATGTCACAAGGTCTAGTTTAGTATTTCAAGCAGTTAGAAGCCTCTCTGAATTCCTTAGTACTTGACTGAGACTTTATAAGTGGGTGAAATAATTTCCTAGAACTTAAAGAGTGTGATTTTCCATGGTCTCCCCTTCTCAATGTCATTTTCTTAAACTTGGGCTACTCAGCTTTAGAAGCATTTCATTTTTCCATATTGGTCATTGATTACCTGGGCAAAGCAACTGAAATGTTCTAAGAAATCTTATTAGTTATAAGGTTGAGTGAAGTTTTAAAAATGTTTCCCTATTTGAATAATTGCAAAACCTGATGTCATTCGTTTGCCCAACATTATATACTGAGTCACTGGGAAAGCTGGATTAGAACCTTAATACTGGTACCTTGTATTCATATAGTGTTTATAATGTATGGTGCTATTCATAAACATAATCCATCTCATTGAACCCTACAGCCGCCTCTGTGAGATACGTGGGGGTAGGATTATAGTTTCAATTGTAGATCAAGAAATGAAGGTTCAAAGCAATTAAGTGAGCTGTCCAAAGTCACTTGGAGTTTTAAATGATATCACTGGAAGGAGAGTGCAGGTCTTCTGAGGCTCCATCCAGCCTCTTTCTGCAACAGTATGTCTGATGTTCAGAGAAACAATCTACTGAAGGTTCAGAGTTATCCCCTGAGCTGGACTTTTTGGAGTATTTGTCCTTTTCAATGATTTTGTGATATTAATGAGTAGGCTAAAGCTGCACAGCCTGTTTGTCTCATTAGTTGAACACCTGTTCATAAAAACAATTCAACAGGGGAAAAATAAGGCCCATATAACTGAGTCGCATGGCAACAAGCAGCATGCATAGTTGGACTTTGGCATATTTTGGAGCTCTACAAAGTACCTGCTGTGTATCATTTAATCCATTACCTAATTACAGTCATAAAATAAGAATGGTAGTTGGACCATAAAAATAATAATTGATTCAAGTATATCTGTGAAAAGCGATGATTTTATTTTATCAAAGAGCCTTTTCTATACATTTCACAACGTACAAACAACCTGAGCACTTTGTATCTGCTTGCATTAGGCAGGTCACAACAGCCTATGAAAAGGCAACCTAAACATCCACTCATCATCATGCACATGCAATACCATGAAAGTCTCTAACTACTGTTCTTCACTATGTAATTAGGGATGAGGCAAAAATATTACAGAACCAGCATACACCTTTCAAAAAAATAAATCATGATGACTTGTCTCCTGAATTAGAAACAAGCAGCCCGTTTTCAGAGTCGGGCACTGGCAGTGAGAATGCTTTCAGAAAGAAACTCTATTTTTTCCAAATTTTAAAGTGACTGAATGGCTACAGAGCAATATGACAATTCTATCTACTTGATCCTCAGCCATCTGTGTGTGGCTTCTCTGTATTACATTTTAAAAATACCTGACCGATTTCTATCATCAGCATTTGAGCTTTTGAGTGCCCCTCCTCTTCTATGTGACAAACACATACATCTCCCTACCCTACAGTCTATTGATTTAATTAATCTAATTAATGCTCTCCAAAACAAAATATAATTAGGAAGCTAAATGGGAGGCTAAAAATTAGTAACATAGTCTAAAACATAAAAAGCATATTTATCTACCATTTTAACTTATTTGTGCCATGTTTTCGCTCCATGAAATGTTTAGAAAGTTCATCTTTTTATTTGCTTCTTAGCATAATAGTGCAAACTTTTCTTTATGTTTTAATGTTTTCTTTAGAAAATGTTGAGATTTCCTACTCCCCTTCTAGAAATCTATTTGTCTAATTTCTTGGTGTATTAGGGCATCAGGCATATTCAAAGAGGAGATCTGATAATTCAATTTACTTCACAAGTCGCACCCCTCCTGTGTTATCTGGTTTGAAATACCCTGAGCACATGGCTGTGCTCCATGGAAATCTCTAGTACAAGCTGTTTTTGTTCCTTTGTTTATATTTGATCATAGGACCAAACTCTGTATGAGATGCAACAGATATTCACTTACTAAGCATTAGCTCAACCATACTAACAATACATACTAACAAGGCAGGCAGAGGCCTAAGCATTATTCATTCCACCAGACAAATCTCTACCCTATTTATTCAAACTGCAATAAAAATGAAAGGTCAAGAAATTTGAAGGTATACTGTATCCTCTTACCTTTAACCACAGAAATGCAACAATATGCTTTCTTAAAAGCAAAAAAAAACAGTCTCCTGTTTCTTCCTGTGGTTAGGGATATGTGGTTCTGTCCTCTAAGATCCTAAGAGACCTGCATCTTGCTAATCTATGATAGCAATACAGAGGCCTAAATTCAACAGGAACTTTTTTACTATCCCACACCTACGTGAGAAATGTAACATTTTACATATTAGGGGACCAGCTGTCCAGGTTTGCCTGGGACACTTCTGATGTATGCCTGGTGTCTTAGTGTAATTATTGACAGCACCCCTTTTATGGGTTGGATGACAAATTATATGGTCATGTTAATTTAACAGATAGACTGAATGTTAAAAAGCACCTTTGTTCGAAATGTTTCATGGGCTCTTCTGTTGCTCTTTGAAGTAGAAACTGGGCACAAAATGTTTGGCCAATCAGGGACATCATTTAGAATGGACCACTGTATTCCACTTTCTCAGATCAACGACATCAGTGAACTGTTGATGAGGAATAACACGATGATTTAAAACCCAGGCCATTCTGATTATCAGAATTTTAGAGGAGATATGATCTCAGAGGTCACCTGCCCCAACATCTTCACTTTTCTAGATGAACAAATAATATAACACTCTTGGAAATGTGTATGGCATTCTAATTTTCTAAGTTGCTTCATGAGCATAACCTCCCTAGACCACAACTGCAGTAAATAGTCAAGGAAGGAAGTTTTCGGCCACACTTTATAGAGGAGAACTACGTTTCCAATATCTTTAAAATACTCAGCCACAATCATGTGACTATTAAGTAGAGTTAAAATCAAAATCCAGGTCTGACTCCCTGCCCAGTGCTCTATTACTCCATGCCAGTTTAATATTTTCATTTAGTGATGAGGATTTAAAATGTATCCCTTACACGTAATTTATCCACTAAAGATATACAAACATTCTCTCTGTAACTAATACTATGTACTTAAAATAACTTTATTTCTGCTTCATTCTGCCTTTTCCCACTTACAAAGAACTCCAGCCCACAACTGAACTGTTCTTGTCTGACAGCGCTGCTTCATGGCTGGCTCAGGAAATGCGAGGTGCAAAATTTATCTCTTTCCTTGTCCGTTGGGTAGAAGGATGAGGAGGAGAGAACCAGGCAAAGTAATCTCTGGCTTTCTCTTTATTTTTCATTAATTATGTCTCAAACAACCTACTTCTCACATCAATACTTCCAACATTCCCCTTCTTCCTCTCCCCCACCCTTTATTTAATCTACGACACACATACAGTTCTAATTATTATGTCTTTATAAGATAAAGGAAAGTCATACTTTTTGAAGTGAAAATAAAGTTTAACTTACATACACTCAATAAGTATTCACTGCACACCCAACAATGTGTCCGAGACTATTCTGGATACTTGAGATACATCAGAGTTGTGCTATAAACCTCTAACATCATCAAAAGTTCCCTGAAAACCCCTCCAATATTTGCACCAAAACCTCATTTCTCTAAGCCAAATTTTAATTAAAACTCCCTTTTCTTAAGCATTTACATTCAATATGAAATGATTTCTTATTAAATTTCACTAAGATATTTCAACAGGATAATTTTCTTTTTTTTTTTCAGTAACAAATAGATAGCATTTTAGTTACACTCCCTTTTTGTGAGTTAGCCTGGAATTCTATCTACAATTTGTAATGTTCTTTCTAGAGAAAACTTTTTCTGAATTCAAAACAATTATCATAGATATAGATGTTTGGTAAAGCAACCTGTTTACAATATTTACAATATGGAGATCTCCTATAAGGAGATTATGGAAATGAGATTTTCCTCTTTCATTTGTCCATTTATTTCAAAGGAAGTAAACTAAATACTCCATTTATTTCACAGCATACTAAAAAAAAAAAAGCCTAAGATTTTATTATTGTCTTTCACCATTTTCTTATGTTTCCACACACAAAACTTTGGATTAGAACATGAATTGGGCTATCAATAAAAATAACTCAGTGTGAATACAAAGAGTTTTATATCTGGGATAAATTAATGATTAATTCACTGCTCGAAGTCATTCAGATATACCCTCCACTCCAATAGCTTTTCATAATATCTTGCTATGTTCTGTAAGTCTCTGAGAAAGACTGGACCACTAAGAAACTTGTTCCAACAACAGCTTCAGGAGGTTCCTTCATCAATTCAACCAAACTTCGTACATCTAGGCATTAAGTAGCAGCAACAGTCACTCAGATCCAGCTGGTCTGGTGGAAGCCAAACTTTCTATTCCATTCTGTCAGATGCCGTAACATTTTTTCATTTGTATACTATATCACTCACATACTGTCATCCTTCAATTATGTCTGTACCAAACAAAGAAGGGCACGTGGGGGAAAGAAAGCCAGCCTGGCTGGTGGTGCTGGCGATAGTAACTGAAATCACCGGCTAATCTGTTTAGCTGGGTCAGAACCCTGTCTGGTCACCAACGTTGACTAAGTTGCCACAAGGAGGGAAGCACTGCTCCCAGACTAGCCCCACTCCACAGGGAGGCAGAGCACACACAGGACACCACCTCACTCCTGTCCCAGCTGACACCACCTAGCTTTACGGCCCCTTTTTCCACAACCACCCATCCAGGCTCTTCTGTCTACACCACTACTCAATATACAGAGGAAATATAGTGTAGTGGTTAAGAACATGGATGCAGAGGCTAGACTTTCTGGGTTTGAGTTCCTCTTCTGCTACTCACTAGAATTGAATTTGCGGAAAGTTATATACATCTCCTTGGGAAAGGTATATAAGTTTCCATCAATACCAGTTTCCATGTGTGTGAAATGGAGACAATAAGAGTGCCAATCACATCATGTTGCTTCCTCTAATGATTAAATGAGTTAATGCATCTAAGACATTGAGGACTATGCCTGGGGCATAGTAATTACTAAATAAATATGTTGTTGTTATTGTTATAACAGGGGTGAGGTTTTTGTATGCAATTAAAAAATATGAATCAACTCTGAGCTATTTGGGGCAGTGAGGACCAAAAAAATATTAGAAGGCTAAAAAGTTAGTTTTTCCAATGTTATGTGTTTGTTTTGAACATGGCCAGTCCTGGTTGTTGAAAACACAGAGCAGTGTTTTCCTAAATTATGTTGTAAATCAAGTCATGCAAGATGCCATCTGTTAAGTTCAAAGAACATTTAATGAGCACCTATTAAGTGCCAGACACTTTTAATGAATGCTGGAGAGGTATACATTTATAAGATATGACATAGCCCCCATAGGAGAGCATATAATTTAGTGGGGAAGACAGGCCCATGAACAGATTATTTCAAAACAATTTCAGTTGGTCATTATTCTTATAGGCCAAGAGAGCCTAGAAAATTCCATCCACCAATTCATAGAGTATTTGTTCTTGCTTATTTTTAACTTTCTCACCACTCATCTTCTTTCCTATTAATGTTTCCTCATTAACAGATGAGAGGAAAGGATAAATTGAGGAGTGGTGTAGAGGCATGAGGAAAGAAACCATTATTTTAGTGAAAATACCAACACCTGAGGTCAAATCAATGTACAATGCAGAGAAAACATGCTTAAGATATGACACCCCCTCCCCCAACCTTGTTAGTCTTGAGAAGTTCCATCCAGGGATACATCTTCCGATGAGGCAATATATACAGCATTTGATTTTTGTTAAAGGTTCTGATTTAAACCATTGTGCTTTACCATTCCAGAAAGATGAAAAAGAAGAGACTGTAATCCAGAAAGAGAAAAACTTATAAACTGTTCTTACCAATTTGCCATCCAGGAGACTGAGCGCCTAGTTCACACTCATTTAAAGAACAATAATCTCCTTGGTAAGCAAGCACTTTACAGTTTAGAAACACTTTCTCTACAATAATACATGAACTTTGCAACAAAGTAAAATGGTTTGCGAGCTAGGCAAATGTGTACATTATTGTATTCCTTCTTCACATGAGAGAAATAGAGGCTCAGAAAAGTGAGGTTTTCAATGATTAATACTCAGGACTTCTAATTCTTTGATCTCTTCAGTACATTAACTCAAATTTCATTTTGCTCTTAATCCTGCTGGGTTTTCTGAGATAGGGGGGCTTCTAAGGCAAGAGGAAAGTAAATCTAAAGAGGAGGACCTGGAAAGCAATTAGCTGAGTTAGCAACTACAGAAAGCACATATAAAAGTGCACATCAGATATGCAGAACTTAAAAGAAGGCAGCAGTTCATATTTTTAAGCCTTGGATTAACTACTGAGAAATAATCCCAGGGCAAGGCTGAAACATGAAAAACTAAACCGCATGACAACTTCGCCTAGGGGAATAAGAGGTACTTGGGATGGTATGGTCACTGGAGACCAGTTGGAATGGCATGACTTCAAGTACTAGTTGGCACCCCAGTCCTTTTGCCTCAATGAATCAAGTGCAGCATGTTCTGGAAGGTGGCAGGTGGCTCTGCATGTGCTGTGCCTGTAGCTGTTACATTGGATCAAAGGTTAAAAGCTCAGATCTTACTGGACAAACGTGAATAAATTTCCCCAATTTATCTAAACCTCAAAAAATGGAGTCAGGGGGCCAGCCAAGTGGCTCAGTTGGTTAAGAGCTCGCTCAAGAGTTTGAGCTCTGAGCAACAGCGGTTCGATGCCCAGCCTGAGCTGAGCTGCCAACAGGTGGCAGGATGGCTCAGCTAAAAAAGAAAAAAAAAAATGGAGTCAGAACAAAACTTGAAAGCAGCGACTCCATTATCTCTATTGTTGCCTTGGGGTCAAGTAGACACCAGGGCTTTCCCAGGAGAAGTGTGGAGGTCTACAAGAAGGCTGCAGCAGCAGCTGAGGAAATGAGGCTGGAGAGACACCCGCAGGTCAGCAGTGGGCTAGCCTACAGTGAGAAAGACTGGCTGCCTCCAGTCCCAATTTTTCACTAAAGTGACAGACGATAATTAACATTCGAGCTCAATGATCCAAATAGGTGATTCAATGTTATCTTAGAATTTCTGACACCAGTAGAGCATAAGAATGCATAGTATTTTGTATGTGTAAATCAATCTTGATGCTCATGACATCACAAACCGCCTTTCCTTTTGTAGCCAGGATAAAAGGTAGAATTCTGAGTCTTCCTCTGATGCTGTAGACAAGTCAGTTAACCTTTCTTGACCACAAAACAGGAATAATTCCATTCTGATTTCTAAGATAGACTTGTGAAAGAAACTAAAAGAAGTAATACCAACCTGCTTTTTATCTGGAGCTCAGCACCCTAGCACCCTACGATTATGGTACTGCGGTCCAAATGCTTGAGCACATTGTTTGATTTTACATGTTTATATCCTATTTTAAATTCACAGCCTAATAGTCTCTCTCTTTTACACTTCCTGTCTGTCTCTACATCCTTTCTTCTTCTTTATTCAATCATTTAAAATTCAACTCTGGTGTTTTTATTTGGAGACTTTGATATTCACTTTGGGGGGGACAATAATTGATACGATTAACACATTTTTTTAGAAGTGCAGAAGAAAGTTCTGACTCCCAGGAGCTCTGTAGAAAGGAAAATTGTACCATTTTCAGCAGAATACAGACAAGGCCTGCAGTAATGACTTTTCCATATATCTTTTGTATTGTTCTTGGTGACCAATGGAAATAACAAGCTAGCCTGGAGACGGAGTCTAAACTCTCAAAAAATACCTCAAATATCCTTCTGGGCTGGAACAGGAAATACTTTTACACAGTAAACAGTAAACATATGGAACCTTTTAGCCCCAAGAAGTTAAGCAGGCTGAAAACATAAATAGCTTCAGGAAGGTTTAGATATTATGCATGGATAAAAAGGATACCTAATAATAATGGCAGAAATGAAAAGTTTGGCAATACAAGTAAGTGTTTAATGAGGATGCGGAGCAAAAGAAATACTATACACTGCTGGTAGAAATGTAGTGTTGTTCAACAGCTTTGGAAAACAAGTTAATATTCTGTTGTAAAGTTAGTAGCCACGTACCTTATGACCAGGTCCTCTTCCTATATGTACCCTAGAGAACACCTCCTAGATGTGCTTCCGAAGGCATACACAAAAATGTTCAGCGAGGCAACATCATCATAGCAAAAAACTGGAAACAACCTAAATATTCATCAACAGGAAAAAACATACAGAAAGTGTGGTATATTCACAAAATGGAAACAGCACTGAATATGAATGCACTTTTCAAAATGCAGATATATGGATGAATCTTGGAATGTTGATGAAAAAAAAAGCAATTCACAGAAGAATTGTATATAGCGATACCATTTTTATACATCCCAAAAACATACAAAACTTAAAAAAGTGCTCTTTTAGGGATCCATACATATGCAATGAAACTACTTTAAAAAAGCAAAGGAATGATTAATACAAAAATCAGAACCTTGGTTTCTTCTGGAGGCAGACAAGCCAGAGGGTAGATTGGGGAGGAAACATACGTGTNGTGCTAGGGGCTAAGGATGAAATGATGATAAAATGAATACAGTGTCTGCTTTCATGAATCTTATATTCCAGAAGGAAATGCAGATTAAAAGAGAAATACACAAATAAACAATTACAGACCTTAAAAGTCCTGTGATGATAACAAAGTACGAACATGAGCGGAGAACCTACTTTAAAGTGGTCAGAGAAGGCTTCTTTGAGAAGGCTCTATTTAAACTGATACCTGAGGATGAAAGGGAGATCATCAGATAAAGAATGAAGATGGAACATTCTAAGCACAGGAAACAGCATGGGCAAAGGTCCTGAGGCAGGAAAGGTTTAAGTGTCACAGCGAGAAGAACCATCCCCATGGACACACTCCTTGCTCTCCCCCTTTCCATTTGGGCCACAGAGGCTACCTTTTAGAAGAGAATGGACATTTTGGGGTTTTTTCAGTATGTGACAGGTAATTTTGCACATTTCCCTCCTCCAGAAATGGTTTAAGCAACGCCTGGCCCAGTGGCGGAAGTCAGAAGGCCTACCTTCAGAATGCAGATCTGTTACAGACTAAAGAGACGGTGGACATTGGTAGCTTCCCTCCATGAAGACCATCTATGGTTTCTCGCCTCGGCTTAACCAAGCTATTTTGTTTTGTCATTATAGTGTTGTATGTTCCATTTTCAGCTGTCCTGCTATTTAACACAATGTTCTATTTTTTTAATGTATATTATAACTAATGAAAATAACAATAGGAAGCTATGTGCTGCTTCTGTGTAAAGCAGTGGCTTGGCTAAGAAAGTGGTGTGACTTGTATTTCCCTTTGGGTCATAATGCCAGTTAGTGTGAAAACCATCTAAGTTTGCTTTTGGTCATCACCTCCCAGAAACAATTTACTTTCAACATCCATTTCAGAGCCGGCAAGTCCCTTGTTGAAAAGATAACATGACCAAGAGGGAGAAGCACTTCTTTCTGAATCTACTTCACTAAGTTGCTTTCCTTATGTTTCATTTAATACATTGAGGTTGAATGAGAAGACAGATGAATATTCGAGTCATTCAGATTTCATAAAGTAGTTTCTTGGATTAAAGCTGCATTAACTTAGAAAGAATCCAGTTAGGTTAGGAGGCAGAAACTGCAAGTAACAAGACAGAAAAGCAACTAACTGAGAAAAAAATCCGCAAAAGTCTTGAATTTACCTTATTTAAATGCATTTGTTAAATTTATTTTGCTAAACAAAACAAACTGCTTTTTTGTCTCTAAAATGATATTCTAAATAAAACCTTAACTTTTTGTTGAAAATGCACTGAATGAGTCCTCTGCAGATTTTTAATTGAATGATAAGTGTATCAAAGGAAAACAGAAAAGCTACAATATAGGAGCAGACTGACAAAAGAGCTGTCATTTCCCAATTTCTTCTTAAGGCGTGGTTCAGGAATGGCATCATCAGCATCAGCCGCAAGCTTGTGAAAGATGCAGAATCTCAGACTCCAGCCCAGACCTACTAAATCAGAGCCTCCGTTTTTAACAAGGTCCCCACGTGGTGTGTATATATGCACATGAAAGTTTGACCAGCATAGCTCTAAAGGACTCTGCAATCGATTTGCATCCATTTTCTATCATAGCACATTCAATGTCTTAATAGTCTATCAATTAAGATTGTGTTTGATTGTATTGAACAGTAACTGGATTATAATTGATTAGCCAAATAGACTTTTTTTTGGTCTATTTGTTTAATTGGTTGATTATTGTTACATAAGGTGTCAGCAGGTAGGAAGCTGTCTAATATTGTCAAGGACCTACAGTCATTCTATCTTTCTACTCTGCTATCTTCAGCATGTAATTGTTGTGTTCACGATGCAAGATGGATGCTTGGGCATTGAGTCTGTATTTCAAGCAAAAAAAGAACAAGAAGAGAACAAGACAAAAGCAAATGCCAGCTANCTTCAGATCAGAAGCATCAGCATTGCCTGGAAACTCATTAGAAATACAAATTTGGGGCCCCACCCCAGAAGAAAAAAGAAAGAAAGAAAGAAAGAAAGAAAGAAAGAAAGAAAGAAAGAAAGAAAGAAAGAAAGAAGGTCAAGCAGAGCACAGGAGCACAGGACTGAAACTGAAGCGTAGGCTTTCCATTCTAGGGTACTGGTCACTAGTACAACACTGGGAACATAAGTCTTTCTGGGCCTCCTTCTCCTGGGCTATTATAGGAGAGGACTGGAGGAGTTCCTCTCCAAGATTCTTTCCAGCTCTGAAGTTCTGTGTCAGAGAAAGGGGGTGATAGATGCCAACAGGAGAGGAGGCATTTCTGACCTGGTTTGACCCTGTCCTGCTTCAGCATGTGACAAGAATCACTGCTAAAGATTTTTAGGAGGGGGAGCACAGAGTTCCCTAAAAACGCAAGGAGGTTATACAGTGACCTGACAAGTGGCTTGAGCCCAAGGCTCTCTCCGGTAGAATGGCGTCTTGTCTTTTCTGAAAGCCTCCTCAATTGACCTAGAGGAGAAGTACAGACATTTATTTAGGGAGCCTGGGATGCGGACACAGTGGGAAAAGGTAACATTAGGCATGCAGGCAGATGGGTGAAGGGTGGCTCACACCCAGCCACAAACCACATCAAAACACATTCAGGATTGTACTGGATGATTTTGCAATTGTTTGTTAAAACCACCAGCCAACATGGTTCCCACATTTGCGCTTGTCTTTTACAGTCAGCAGTGTCAAGTCCTGACCTGTTTGTACCAAATTCACAGCCAAGATCTTGAAGACTCTAACTTCTTAGACTTTGATAGATCTTAAATTGGGGGGAGGGTAGGAGGGGTGCACAGCTGCCATTTTTGGGGGGGAGGGGCCTCCCATTCAGAGGCTACTTAGGAATGGAGAAGATGTAGTAGGAAGTCATGTTGTCCACAATCTGTTAGAGCAGTATTTGACTCCAAAGGAAGGAAATACAAGAGCTCTTGAAGCTTGTAACGTACCCATTCTCTGGACTTTACAGTCTATTTTAATACAGTCACAGGGAAGTCTGTGGTTTTAAAAGACACTTGCTATAGATTGTCCTCAGTTGGGTTTTGGCTTTATCTTGGACGTCCTCACCTAGAGGGGTCACACAGTCAAGTGGGCTACCTACCGTACACTGGGGAACATGGCCAGGTCACCTGGGGCAGTGAACAGCAGGGGTGGCTGGAGGCCTCAGATTTAGTTAGAAAAGTCGGGGGGATGGGGGGGTGGAGAGATGGAGGCGGAGCCCGCAGAATGCAGCGTGACTCAGACAAACCCTCAGGTGGAAATGTCTCCTGATGCTCAGTTCCCGGTCTTAGGAACCCCAGCGTAAAGCGCGTCTCTGTGGACCTATCTCCACCTCTGTAAAAGGGAGAGAATAAAACCGCCGCCCGCATTTCCCCAACTTTGAGAAGTCACTTCTGTCCTGTGGGCCGTTTCTTAGGAAAAGGTGTGGGGTTTACAACTGTCCCCGGCGAGGGCCCCAAAGTACTAAGCCACTTCAGAGGCAGAGCCACGCATACGGGGGAGGCATCCCCGCTGCGGGATCCGGGGTACCCGCCCACGCCATCTGTCAAGCCGGTCCCCGGGGCAGGTCCTTCTGCCCGGACCGACTCTGAGGGCGGTTTTTCAAAATCACGCCGCGCTTCCTTCACTCCTTCCTTAGAGCCTCAGGCCCGGGAGGGCACGCGGCGTCATCTTCCCCCCAATCACCCCAAACCTGGGGGCCCCGAGGAAAGTCGCTGTAAAAATCCCCGGGCAGGTCCCGCCGCAGCCTGCAGCCGCCTGGGACCCGCGCAGCCTCACGCCTGCGGGAGGGGACAGCCCCGCGGGCTCGGGGCGCCTGGCCGCGTCCGGATCTCCGTCCCTCCCCGCGTCCCGCCTGCTCATCGCAGCTGCTTCTCCTTCCCCGCAGCCCCGCCGGGACCATGTCGGCGGAGACAGCGAGCGGCCCCACCCAGGACCAGGTTGAAATTTTGGAGTACAACTTCAACAAGGTCAACAAGCACCCGGACCCCACCACGCTGTGCCTCATCGCGGCCGAGGCCGGCCTCACGGAGGAGGAGACCCAGGTGAGCCCCGCACGCGCCCCGCGCGCCCGGACCCCTGCCCCCGGGACCCCCGCGCCCCCACCTCGCCGGGGCCGTCTCACGAATATGGGAGGTTTCACTCGCCCTCGCCTCCCGCCGCTCGCTGCCCTCCCCCGATCTTCCATAGCTTTTGCCCGCACCCCAGGAACCCAGACCCTGCATCGCTCCCAACGCCGCACCCCAGCTTCGGGGCTCCACGGGGTGCCCCGCCTGGCCCTCCATCCCCAGCCCGCGGGGCCTCCCCCAGGAGCTGCGTAGAAACCTCACGTTCTTTCTTCCTTCTCCTTGGTTTTCCACTCTGCACCACAGCCCGGGATAAACGCTCTCTCCTCCCTCCGGGTAGAGAGCAGGGTCCCTGACCCACTCTTGCCTCGCCTTCCCGGGCTCAGTTTCTCCCTTGGGCTGGGAGCAAAGCCTTCCTGAGAAGTGCTGAGCCCAGCGCCCTCAAATCTGTCCCCTGCCGGAATGTCAGAGCTCGAGGGGCCCTTAGCGATCAACTATAAATTCAGTCCTCAGGTTTGGCAAACGAGGAAACTGAGGCCCAGCGGGAGGGAGGGAATGGCCCGGATGGCACGGGTCGTTAAGCAGGCTCTTTCCATTACCTCAGCAGCAGAGCTAAAATTCCCTTAGCAGCAGAGCTAAACTTCCCTTAGCAGCAGAGCTAAAATTGCATATTTTAGCCAGGCAGATTTGATTCAGATTTTTAAAAATCTCCCCTGCTCTAAGGTTTACAGTCGTTTTCTGGAGTTTTCCAAGAAGGTAGACATCTGACATTACAGCTGAAGGGAGTGGAAGCAGATGTCCCCTTAAATGCATTGATTTATTTATCTGTTTTTAAAAGCTCCTGTTATCATCCGGAAAATTGTTTCCGGGAGAGAATGCAACACTATCCATGTTTATTAACCCCCAGGTGCAGTGTTGGCTGCTCCAACTGACGTTTTTTTAAAACCCTGTCTAAACTCTGACGTCTCCTTTCCCTTTGGTCATGGAAAGACGATTAGTTATGCATGATACTGCTACTTGGAACTGCTCTAGCATCTCTCCCTTAGAAGCCCCAAGTACTTCACACCTCTCGTCTCAGCTGTAAAACCGAGACGTTCTTCTTCTTCCCGTTGTACAGACCAGAGCCTTAGACAGTTTGTTCTCTCCTCACCATGACTCTTACTCAGTTGAGGCTTAGAAGTTTGTAATGGATGCGCCCATGGATCCTATTATATTGTAGAACCAAGACTCTGGACTCCAAGTCCAAGACGATTTTTACTAATTAAACCAGAACTTGTCCCTAGAAAATCCTCTCATTCCTAGGTCAAAGAGAAAATCAAGCATACCTGTTTTTGGCAAAGGGAACAGATGTCGAGTTAACCAGCACCAGAACTTAATGGAAGGTGATTTGCTGTAACCCAAGTCTTACAGCTCATGATTCTTGGAAACCCCTGAGGAGGCAGCCTGTTTAAGTTTTATCATTTAAAATCCCATGCTATATTTAAAAAAAGAGGAGTGATCACAGATACAATAAGTAGTCATCTTATAAATAGAAGGCTGTGGATTTATTGTGGGCACAGCACCAACTAGGGGTCTAAGCTCTTCTCAGCCCCTGAGTCTCCCATGGTAAATTATCATTATTCCCTCACCTGTAAAGCAGAAAAACTACGTTGGCCTTTGTAGTGGCTAATACTTGTCAGGTTTTGTTCCAGGCATCCTCCAATTATTAAATCACTTATTTGTCTCAACAATGCTGTGAGGTTGACACTATGAGTCCCATTGTACATACACAGGAACGGAGGCACAGAAAGGTTAAATAACTTGCTCAAAAGCACAGCTAAGAAGTAACCGAATGAGAATTTGAACCCTGGCAGTCTGGGCACCACCCAGAGCCCTAACCAGGATGCTATGTTATCTCCACAGCGGAAGGATAAACAGCTGGGTAGGATGGGAGGGAAGGACTGAAAATTCAACATATGTTACTGTGTTTCCCTGAAAATAAGACCGGGTCTTATATTAATTTTTGCTCCAACAATCTACATTTATTCCTTTATTCATGTACAAAAATCTATGTTTATTCAAACAGTCCTGTCTCGCTCACGATCTTAACTGGGGCTTATGTTTGGGGTAGGGCTTATATTATGAGCATCCTGAAAAATCATGCTAGGGCTTATTCTCCAGTTAGGTCTTATTTTCGGGGAAACACGGTATATGTCTTCTTGAAAAAAAATCCATGCGTTAAATGATAGTTATCCTGGGTTATAGTCAATCCTTGCTCAAGATTCATCTTATACCTTTTTTTTTTTTTAAAGATTCACCTGCTATTAGAGTATTGAAATACCATCAAACGAGGGGCAGGAAGAAAGGGCAGCTGCTGCTTTCCGTGATTGAGATAAGCCAATCCGGACCCCTGCCCAGCAGGTTAATCTCCACCTCCCAGGCAGTGCTTCTTTCATTCCCCTCTCCTACCTTCCTCAGATGAACAAATGGTAGACCCAACCCTCAAACTAGTGGGTGTGGGGGTGAGTCAGCCTCATTGCAGGGCCCCTGGCTTCCTTTTCCTGCCATGAGGCCAACACCTCCTTCCTCCCTGAGGCTGCTGCACAGCTGGGCTAGCTGCTCTTCCTGCAGAGACTGCAGGGAAGCACCTGAGACCCCAGAGCTCAGAGAGGGGCAACGTTTAGCAAATTCATTGAAAGAGGCTTCCTAGGTAACCCTCTGTCACCCCTTACTCAGTTGCGTCTCAACTTCTGACTTCCCGTTCTTTCCACCTCACCCTGCTGCCTCAACCCTTTCCCAACTGTCCCCACCCCAGTGTGCACTGGTGGGTGGGAATGGCGTCTTCTTTAATTTTCTCAAACAGCATTTACATTTTTAAAAGTGTCTTCTAAAAAAAAAAGAAGTCTCTTCTGGAGATATCATGCCCAATGATGAACTTCCAGGCATAAATAAAATTATTTTTATTTATACAAGGCATTATAGGGACCCTTTACATAATTTACGAAGGCCCCTGTGTGCTGGGCCTTCATATAGGCAGTGGCTGGTATCAGCACAGCCCGTTTCTGTATTAGTGTTTTTTTTCCCTTTCTACAAGTAAAGGTTACGAAAATAATATTTATTTCATATGCCTGATTTCCTCATCCCTAACACTCTCCCCACCTCCAGAATTGGAACAATATTCTTCATTTTTCTAGAACAAGTAATACATTAGTAGAAGAAAAATAAGCATGAAATGCTCCTGTGAGATAATAAACTAGAGCTGATTCACATTGCTCTGATACTTTGGCTAGGACAAGAGGGACTAACATTTTCTCTGAGTGGGGGCTTTGATGACCTCATGATGACTGTCGCACTGTAGGACAATGTTCTCTGCTATGGGGAGGACACCTGTAGGAACCCAAGTGAGGTGAAGGGTGCTCAATGTAAATAACTTTTTAAGTTGCCTATGCTGAGATTCTAGAATGGGTTTTTCTCATGACAGTAATTAGATAGCTCCTACATTTAAATTAGATAAACCTTACAGAATACTGACCCCTTGTGTCTTTTATTGTTTTGAAGTCAGTGTTAGAAGCGGCTGGGAAAGCTCTTTCATCGGCCCCTTGGGAGGTTGAGATGATCTGGCATTTTCTATTATCACTAATTCAAGCCCAGTGTAGCTGGCGTTGGTGCTTAGAGAGGTTTCCAGTATTTTTATCTCCTCTCGATGTCCTGGGACTATTCCCAGAACTCAGTGGTTTTAGTTGTTGGATGTTTTATCAGTGGAATAAAGACCTCTAAAGGTCTCCTCCTGAAAAGAATGAAATGTTAGTTACTAGAAAAAAGGACAGGAACAATGTTATTTTGCCTCAGCCCCTCCCCATCACAGTGTCTAATTATCATCTATTCACTTGAAGTAAACAAATCTCCATCAATGGGTGAGGGTAACAGGGCATTCATTTATAAGCAAGCAAGGAATGAAATGTCTTTCCCAGGGGATGACTGAAACAAAGAAGAGAAAGATAAAGCCAAGTAGAAAATTAGTATTGATGTAAGTGAGATGTAATAAGACTCAGCTCTAGAGGGAAAAGCAAGCAAGCAAGGTGTTTAATGGTTTTTGTTGGACAGCAACTGGTTTGCTAAATTATTATGTACATAGTTGATTTAAAATAGGTAGCTTCAGAAAATAGTTGAGCTTTTCTTGAACGTCGTTCCATCCCCCAATGCTAGGGTTCAATTTGTTAAGCATTTGGGTGCCAACTCACCAATTCACAAATGTGGTCTTGCTGAAGTTATTTTCAGTAATTGTACATTAATATTCTGCTTCATTACTAGTGTAGAGATGTGGGTGGCTCTTCTGAATGAGGCCAGTTCAATCATTTTGTCTTAAATGAATCCTGATAGAAAACGAGACTTTTTTTTCCTCCAAGTTTTAATTAGTCTTTAAAACTCTGTCCTTTATTCAGCTCTAGTAACTGGAAATCCTACTGAATCAGACTTGTAGCCTTGAACCGCCCGCCCCCCACCCAACAGAAGTGCCTCATTAATGAAATTGGAGCCATGCTGCTCTCACACCAGATTTCAGAGTTCGTTAAATACGCACATGGATTACAGAAGAAAATGGCTCCCACCATTAGCAGTAGAACTTTGGTTAAAGCCACTGGAGTTACTCGAGCTCTCTCTTCTCCTTAAGGATAGTGATCCTCAGGGATGAAATATGACACCTGGAGAGCAATGCCCAAAGAAGGCTTCCTACTGCCCCTGGCTTTAGAGTACTTTTCTTTGCTGCCACCCCACAGTACAAAGGTGTATAAGACAGCTGATCTTGACAGCTGTGTATGGCATTTCAGTGTGTAAATTCTGTTGTACAGTTAGGGCGAGTTGCAGGTGTGGTCCCATGCTGTGCAGCCAGCTTAGCATCAGGGCAGAACCCTAAACTCTCCTGCGACCTCACTCCCTTCTAGCTCCACAGGACTTGATCCTTAGAAACACTCCTCCTGTGGTCCTCACTCTGCCTTCTGGTCTTGGGCTTAGGGATGAAATGCCTTTCAGCTCCCTAGACCTCTGCAGGGATGAGACCTTGCCTGCCTAACCCTAGAGTCAAGCCTGTTTGTTCTTAGGGTAAATGTACAGCCGGGCAGGTGCCCACCTATGTGAAGTCAGAACCCTGTAGACATTTCTCATCACGTCGTCTCCATCCAGCACATTTCAGGTTTGGCATCCCATAGCTGTGCTTCTTCTGCTTCCTTTCTGTCCCCTTATCTACTTACCCCTAAAAGAGGTAAATTTTAGAAAACCCAG